TCAGTAACAACATTGAAATATAAATTTTTTGTGTACATTAGAACATACATTTTATTTCATTCATATAAATGATTGAAGTTTCCTTAAGCCACGTATAGCTCTTTACCTAAACAGGACTGTGTGTCCAGACATTTAGCGACTGTCCAACGCACGCATGTGAAAGTGAAGTAAACCCACACAGATGTCCTTCTGTCCATCAGCTCCTTCTCCCTCCTCGACTGCGTCTCCATCATCTGAAGAGCATCTCTGCAATCTGGTTTCCAAGCAACTGTTTCCAATCAGCAGAGCCTGCATAAAACACTCACTCACTCACGCATTTAAAGAAGGAGCCGAGCTGGTTGACCACATCAGCTGAGGTTATGTCTAATTTCATTTCAGTTTTTGATTTATGTTTTTAGAGAGGCTCTTCAGGATCCGTCTGCGAGGCTGAAGGGCTTTTTAAAGTTGAAAGTGGATGAGATCTCACTTGAGCTGAAAAATTCTTCTGCTTTTGTACCTTTAGTTCAACTTATGTTTTGTTTTATGTTAATTCGTCTTTATGACAAATATTTTAGAAGTAATAGTTAATTCAGTGCTGGACAAAGAAAATCTATCAAGCACTTTTAAAGTATCACTTCTTGTGTTATTTCTATGTAGTTTAAAGGTAAGAATGAATATTTGGTGAATATGTATCCACAATTTGACCACTGACCTACAACTTGGCCCTAATTACCCTAACTTGCCTAGTTAACCTAATTAACCTAGTTAAGCCTTTAAATGTCACTTTAAGCTGTATAGAAGTGTCTTGAAAAATGTAAAAGATAAAAATAAATCAGTTATTAGAAATTAATTATTAAAACTTATGTTAAGAAATGTGTTTAAAAAAATCTCTGTTAAACAGAAATTGTGGGAAAAATAAACAGGGGGGCTAATAATTCAGACGGGCTAATAATTCAGACTTCAACTGTATGTATATGTAATACACATACATAAAAACACACACACACTCACAAAAAAACGTACTTATTTAATATAATATATAGTGCTCAGAGTACACCTCACAAATCTCTCATTTTAAAAAGAATATTTATACAGGATTCTTTACAAATATTGTATTTGTGTATATACATTAGATTAGGCAATGCAAGACAAGTTTATTTATATATGTATCTATATATAATTGGAAGTATGTGGTTTCGGCGCAGCCTAAGTCTGTAGGCTACACAATCATAGGGAGGATTTCTGACGATAGTTGTCCAAAAGACGACCGTTGACACTTTGCACAAGGAGTGCAAGACAAAAAAAGTTATTGGAAACGAGGCTGGCTGTATTGATAAGTAATATTAAAAATTTCTGACTGAGTGTGGGGTTTTTATTATTGTCATCAAAATTCTAAAAATAAAAAAAACATTAGAAATATTTTTTAAATAGATTTAGTGAAATCAACTTTTTGAAGATATTTTAATTATATGACCAGCACTAAATAAAAATATAAAACAAATTAAGAGCAAAAATCGATAGAAACCAAAAAAAAAATACAATTATTTAAAAAGTATACAATTTAGTTGAAATGTTGTAACTTTTTAAAGCAACTTTTCACATGAATTTAGATGTATTATCTTTCTATTTCTAAAAATGTTCAGTGTCTAAAATATTATTTCAATAAATATATCTGTATACTTAAATCTGTTTTGTTCAAATGCACCAAAATATATTCCCTATATTCACTGAGAAATGGGCAAAAATATGATTTTTTTGGATGTACTCATTTATGCTGAGTGCTGTAAAATTTATATCACATACATGTATATTGTTTATGTCTAAATATATAGAAACATGTCAAACAAAAAAATGCATGTGTATATAAATTAAACATACACAGCGCATGCACAAGTACTATGTCAAAAACAAACTTTTATTTCGGGTGCGATTAATCCTTCTAAATCATTGCCCAACTAAATATGTATACATAAATTATATATATATATATATATATATATATATATATGAGCAATATCACACGAGTAGCAGTGCGATATGGCTTTATATCGGCACCGGTGGGAGGCGTGCGTTGCTTTAATGCCCCCACCAGTGCCAACATACAGCCATATCGCACTGCTACTCGTGTGATATTGCGTTTATACAACAGTTTGACGGCATAATTGTGTATATAAAAACAAAATCAAACATGGAGAGTCTCAAAAACCCTTTATGAGGAACTACTTTCTTTCGGATTCAAATCATAAGCTGACAGTTAAACAGTTGAGCGTGCATCTTTTAAACTTTAGATCTGTAGTGTCTGCTATTTGCTGGCTGTATGTGGGCGGAGTAATACACAAAGGGTAAAGAGGCTGTAGGAGTTCTGATTGCAGAATATCGCACGCCTATCAGCCAATCAGATTTGAGAACCAGACAGAACTGTTGTATGTATATATATATATATATATATATATATATATATATATATATATATATATATATATATATATATATATATATATATATATGTGTGTGTGTGTGTGTGTGTGTGTGTGTGTGTGTGTGTGTGTGTGTGTGTGTGTGTGTGTATACGGGTAGATTTAGAGCAGGGGTGCCCAGACTTTTTCTTATAAAGGGTCAAAAACCAAACTTGATTGAGAGCTGTGGGCCAAAGGTAAATATATACCAAACTGTGTTACACCAAAGTTTCTATGAGTAATTTTGTAATTTATTTTATAAAGCAGTGTATTTAAAAAAGTATAATGAATTTATTACTATAAAAACATAAACAATTCTATTAATAACACAATGGAATTCAATGCTGAATAAGCTGCTCCATCTTGATTTGCTATGCGATGTCTTGTGATGTCGTTGAGTGACAAAAATCTGACTTATTTACAAAAAAAGAAACTACAAAACAACAAACAAAAGCTCACATTAAATTAAAAATGACCATCTCTGTCAAAGACTACCTCCTTATCATTCTCCCTCTCCTTTTCAAATGGCGTGGTGAGAAAAATCAAAGGTTAGAATAGGCTAACTTTGACTAGCTGGCTCTAGTTTGGACATCTCTGATTTATAGGTTGGTTAATGGGTAGATGTGGCTTCAACAGTAGAATCTGTCTGCTTTTTCTCATCCTCATGGCCAGGCAAATTAGTGTTTCCAGGAAATCCTTACCTCATCCATATGAATGTGATCTTCTCTGTCCACACTGGTGTGCGATGATGATCAGCTTCACAGCTTTCATTTAAAGCAATCAGGCCTTGTTACTTTCATTTCTAGTGGATGTGAAGGTTGAACTGCTGGTGTGTGCATTTTTCAGTTTACAATCACAGCTGTTCATATGGTGAAACCGGCTTAATCAAAAAAAGAAAGAAAGAACTGCTGTTGTATTTTCTGAAGCTGAAAGTGTTTGTTGATGCTGTTCACAGAATCAAGGCATAGATAATAAGCAGCTTTTGTGTTTCTGAAGAATGTCTGAAACTAGTCATCTAAATTCTATTACTGCTGTGAGACACCTTTGAAAATAACATCAGATTAAAACATGTATATATTTGACATTCACATTCATTTATATTTTTAATACTGCCATCTTAACCATCCTTTCACATTTGTTATGCAACAATATAGTCATATTTACAGAGATGGGAGGTTACGAAATACATATACGTCATTACTGTACTTACGTAGATTTTTCTGGTATCAGTACTTTACTTCACTGCTTATTTTTCTGACAACTTTTTACTTCTACTAACATTTTTACACAAATATCTGTACTTTCTACTCCTTAAATTTTTTTAAATCAGGCTTGTTTTTGTTTTATTGTGTTTTGTGGCGCAATTTATAATATTTATTGTTATTGCGTATATTGAACGCCTTTTTGATTCCATCGTTTTTCTGTCGTTGTGCACCTGCGTGCTGCAGTGCGTGTTTTTTTTTTTAACCTCATCAAATCTCGCGCCGTAAGTAGGCTTACCATGGGGACGGCAAGAATGGCGAGCTTTGATGAGAGAGAGGGAATCTGTGATGTAAACATGACTGATGTTAAGTATATACCAGGTAAAATGATGCATTTTGGTTGATCGGATCACAGGTAAACGAGACGCACAAAATATTTTAATGGTATGTTTGTCCAAAACCTATTAACACTGAAATGATGTCTCTCTTACATGTCTACTCATCTATTTACATCTTAGATTTCATATTAAACCTTTAATTTATTTTATGATTTTTCCAAATGCTGAAATTTATAACATTATTATTTTTTTATTAGAGGCTACATTATATTAAAACCAAAACGTCCAATGGGTGGCGCCAAATCTTTATCTTTGTCACTGAATTGTTTATTCAGATTCATTTTTAACGGCTCATTTTTTAAATTAATTGACTCGTTAGGAATGCCTCGCTCAAATATTTCCTGTTAACCTCATTTGTTAGAGCTTCTTCAATGGGAATGCGTTTAAATCTTTGATTTCAATAGTAACAACATAAGAGATGTAAAATAAAGTCTATCGTGTTCTGGATAATGTACAGGGAAAACCACTTTAGTTTTACATCAGGTTATTTTAGGCTACTGTATATGTAGGATGGCAGCTATTTTTCGTAACAGGTGTAAAGTTATGTTTTGTGTCCAGGTAATGATACAATATTGTAGAGTGATGTTGGTTGACTAGTTTGCAGCTAAAAATTGGCCACAAAATCTTTACCAAAAAATGAGAAATGCACGTTATTTTGTATAGATGTATACATGATGTCCAGTGTGGTTACCACTGTGAAACTAAAACAGGTGAATACTTTATACTTAAGTACTCATTTCAGGCAGTACTTATTTACTTTTACTTGAGTACAAAAGTGTAGTCAGTACTTCGACTTTTACCAGAGTCCTTTTAAACATGAGGATCTGTACTTACTTGTGTAATGGATGTACTTTTGCCATCTCAGCATATTTATACAATTATACATTAAATCATCATTTTTGTGGTCTCCCGACACAATCGGTTGTGGTCAGGGGCAAAGACACAAACGAGATGCAGATGCGATGAACGATTAAATACAGTGTTTTATTCACTGAAGCCAACATTGTGTCCCTGATCTTTGTGGACAGGCGTAAGACACGCTCATGCCAACCGATCACAACCAAACTAATTCAGTCTTCAGAACACAGGGCGACAGGCATATTTAACAACATTTACAGGAGAAGTACAGCATCACAGCTAAAAAAAAAAAAGAGAGAGAAAGTTCACTAGATCTGAGTTTGGACACCAAACGGCCCAACTGATGGCTAAGGCGCATTAAAACCAGCTGCTCTCCTTCAATACTCACACAATTGCATCTTGAGAGGAGGTCATACATTACAGGGTTTGAGAAAGTAAACAGACAAAGATGACATCTGCGTGGACAAAAAGTCAAGATGTATACAATCAAGTTCAGCTCAGGGAGAAATAAACAACACTGTGGCATGGTAAACAAGAGTAGTTCACACCCGGGAGATTAAAAGTCACACACAAAGCAAATTTTTCAGTCGAAAATATCATCTTAAGACAGATATCTGACTCTTAAATGCTTTTAATTATGCAAGTCTGACTGCTTTTCATGTTGTTATTGTTTTCATTTTGAAGTCCACTTGCATGCCACCATCGCTTCTTATGATTTCCGTCCTATGCAAAATAATAACGAATGGAGATACTATTTAAAAGTACTACGACGTGCACTGTTAAAGGGTTAGTGCCAGAGTTACGTGTCACAGGAATCTATTTGGTCTGGAGAAGCGTGAACAAATAACATGGAACACTGCAGCACATAAAAGAAGAGTCCATATCTCTTCGCATGGCCTTTCACACTGATGACAGTTTTATAGTACTGATTACTATGCGAGTAAATACTGCTCAAAAATAATTTTTTGTTCTACACTTTGCAACAAATAAATAAAAATAAACATCATCTAAGTGCTAATTCTGTATTCAGAACTGGACAGGAGAAATGACATGTCCTGCGATTTCACAGCAAGAAAAAAAAACATGACGCAGCAACAATCTATAAAGTCCATTGAAAGAGCTTGCAATAACACAACGTAGATATGAACGAATTCTTTCTATCTGTTTAATTCTAGCAAAAACATAATAATAAAGTGTCCTCAAAAAACATTTCAAGTAAACAAATGTCATTATAGACTTCGGGGACTAATATCTGTAAATGTGAACAGCTTTTCATATTCATATTCCTTTTTAAAAGCTCAAACGAGTAAATAGATCCACCGTGGACAATCTTTGTTGGTGTGCAATAAACAGCGTAGAACGTTCATATAGTGTTCACGACATGTCATCGGTAATGAAAATGTCATCTGAAATTCAAAGTCAGCATCACGAAAAGCAACCTGTTCTAAATTCTTCTACAAACCGTGTCTTCGAACAACCTAAACATGACAGCAAAAACACACGCGAGCACGGACAAACTAACACGACTTTACACGAGTGAAAATTGTACCTTCGGCTGTGTACCTTCAATAAAACCAACCATCCTTTTGGTTATGCTTGGAAAAACCTGTGATATAATGAAGTGACATATCACTACCCTTTAAAAAACTCTCTAAAAGAGTCAAAGGAACTAATAAAGTGCACTATAAATACTACCGTCATCTTTACAACAATAATGTTCTGAACTGAGAATTAAAAATTCAAATATATATATGTGTATATATAAGATTATAAAATACACAAAAGGAGAATTGGCATTTACACTACTGAAAAAGCAGAAGTATACTCTTTACTTCAACAAACAGATAAAAAAATAGATGGCACAAACTGCACAGTGGATGACGTTAATGTCATCTCGCAGTCTGAAACGCCGTAACTCAGCAAGTACCTCGAAATCATCATTAGAAAATAATCTGCTTTGAGTTTCGGTCCATTGCTGTGACATGCTGGTACGATCCATTAATGCGCGTGAGTAGATGCAATATCGACAATTCGGTGGTTTGTTAGTAGGTGGTTAATAGTGAACTACATCAGCAACGACAACCAAAGGCTTTCGTGACAAATTCCGCATCGAATCCATGCATTAACAACCTGAAGGATCCTCAAAATTACCCTTTCTAGCGTTTCAGCTTATATCTGTTGCTCGTTTATATATTAAAATAAAAGTTAACGCTCTGAGTGAGACTACTGCGGGATATCTACATGTGGACCTTTCCACTAACTTGAAGAAAATACTTCTCTTGAAGGAAAAGCAAATTAGGGGAACAGCACAATCAAGAGACAGTCATGTTCTCTAAACAAAAATCGCTAGCACTTTATTTTACAGTCACCATGTCCTACCCCTAAACCAAACCTTAACCCTATTAAGTCATTTCCTGTGTACTGTAAGTGCACACACTGTAAAATAAAGTGCAACTACTAAATCTGGACACGCTAACAAATAAAAAAGAAAACCACACTATTTGCTCCACAAGAACCGGCTGGTCAAGGGAGACCTAGAGATGTACAACTTCCAATCAATTGATCAATTGACATTTTACACAAATGTTTTCTGATACAACTGTCGGCAGATAAATAAATTACATCAAAATACAGTCACGCGTGATATACAATGGCTCTCAGAAAGAAAAGCAGAACACTGCCTATGTAACCTTAGGAGTTTCAGGCCGGTAATCCTTCCGCTCGGACGTGTTGCGCTTGACTTTGGCGGCGGCCGGCTGGGAATCCTGGTTGAGAGAAGGGCTGGACTGCGACTTCTTCAGCGCTGCGTCGCCATCCTTCGCCGTCAGCAGCTCTTTCACCCCCTCTTTCAGAAGCTTCACGTACATCTCGTAACGGTTCTCCTTCAGAGAGAATTCAGAGAATCCATTAGACTCCATTATCATGTCATCACCTGCCGTGCAGACGAACGAGACGTGACTTCTAACAATAGCTCCGCTCCAAACCCTCGCTGCCAACACACGCAGTTACTGTACCTTTTAAATTAAATGCCACCTTGTGAGTGACTCATTGAAGTTAAGATACTATGGGTAAAGCCACTGTTTGTTCATGCGGAACCCAATTTTGAACTTGTGGACAAAATAGACAATAGAGTTTGTTCAGCCCATGGTGAAAAAGCTGTCAATGTTTACATACCCTCATGTTGAAATTTAGCTAACACTTTACTTTTAGTATGATTTCTCACTAGATACTGGGTTATTGCCTGCTTACTCTTACCATATTGCCTGTTTATTAGTACCTACAAAGTATCATATTATTATGCATTGCTAATCCAATACCTGAACCCCTTAATAATTATTATTTCTATATTATACAAACAGATACACACCTATTAATAAGCAGCAAACTAGTACTTTATTGAGCTTTATTATTTATAAATATAAGGATTTGAACATTAAAATAAAGTGCTACCAAAATGTATTCAAACACAAATGAACAATGTTCCAATAAAATATTTATGCAAGCAATGAACAAAACATTTATTACAGTATTTGTTCATCTTTGTTAATGTTAGTTAATGACAATATAGTCATTCATTGATAGTTCATGTTAGACAGGCCCGGAGCCAGGATGTCATAACTGAGGTGGCATTTTAATCCCAGTAGACCTGCTGATTTTGGTCTTTCTTGTTCATTTCATTTAGGCTATTTACTTATTTACTTTTTCTTTGCATTACTGCCTAAGTTACTGACGTAAGGCATTAATATACTTTTTTATAGTTGTAATAATATGCACAGTTTTGCAATTACTGATTTTATCAATGAAGGTAATGCAATTATACCGTTTACATAAACGCAGACAAATCATGGCTTCAGCGCCAAACGTGGGCTTTAAATCATATTTTATTCTTCTTATTTTTTCAGTCTTATTTCAAAAAATATAATTGTTTAAAGTTTTAGGTAAAGACGTCAAACTATGCCCATGCATGCAAGCTAACCCACAGTTAGACTATTCCATAACCGGTAAATAAATATAGTGAAATCAGCATAACCGAGTCATCATGCTTCACGTAACCTTTGACCCAACCAATATCAGTGTTAGGAAAAAGTTGTATGTTAATCTAATGTTATTTAAGAAACTATTTAGTTACATTTTAAGGCATTAGTGTAGCCAGAAAAATAGGCTACCTAAAAAAAATACCGAAATTCACAGTTATTACTATGAAAATTGGTTAAATTTTGGGATAACACACAACTCAATAGGCTAGACTATAAAGTGTTTTCATAATTTTAAAGGTAAAAATAAAGATTTATATTAGGCTATCATAAATGAGTTTTTTTTTTCGTGATATTGTCCGGTTGGCAATTGTAAAAACGTCATCATAAACCATTAGGTTACCAGGCCTACTCATCATTTTAATTATTTATTAAGCCTATTTTAATAACTTGTTTTCAGGTTACATTTTCATTTTGTAGGGCCATGAGCTACAAGTCAAAACCACATCAATATGCTAAATAGGCCTACAATATATATTCTGGTGTTTAATTTTGCATGAGCAAATAGCAGTATAGCCTAAATTACATATTTTTAAAAGATTTTCATTCAGTTTACCTGCAATTTTTCCTGTGAGAGGTTGCAAATCCACTTACACATTCACTATACCTATTTTATTTATGACTGTAAACTAGACTTCGCAGTTTAAACTCAAAGCGTATTTTTAAGTGTCCTAACTTGACTACTGCTGTATAATTGGATGTTTCTTTACAAAACTGTGCACTTTAGCCAAGTCAAAATGAAAGCAAAAATTCAAAAGGGTTCTGCGTCAATTTTAGCTTAATTTTAATAATATTAATAATAATTAGTATTAATTTTAGTGTAGACTACTGTGGGACTGTGCAGTGAACTAAACATTTTTATTAGGCTACACATCCCCCAACTGACAACTAACGTAAATGACTGGCAGTTACGTCTCGGCTAAAATTAATGTAACGGCAGATTTCTTCTGTGTTTTTTCCATTTAGAGCTCAACAGAGTTGTATTTAAAGAATTAGTTCACTAAAACATGTAATGAATTAGGCAGCTCATCTTCATGTCACCCACTAGTCCAGTTTTCTCCTGTGTAAGTTGAGTGCACCTCAGCCGCCGTGTGTGCATTTTAAATGCTATATATGGGTGCACCCTGACCTGATGCGGGGACCAGATCTCTGGACTATAGGCCTAGCTTTAATCTCACAATTTAATTGCTATTTCATGTTATAAAATATCTAAATGTGTGTTCTGAAGGATGGAATGACGAGGGTGTAAGTAATTAATGAGAGAAAGAATTTTCAGTTTTGAGTGAACAAAACTGGAGGGGAACAAATTCTTTCTGAGGGGGCAATAGAACAGGAGCACACAGTTATGTTTTGTTAAATAAGTTGAATATAAAATTTATGCTTCAAACCCGCCCAATTTTTGTCAACCGGCCTATGCCATTTTTTACCCGCACAAATTCAAACCACCCAATCTGGCAACACTGGTAGCGGCACAGAGTGTCTTGACAGATGTGGGCGTTGGGGAGCGTTGAAATCAAGTCAACTTTATGGTAATGAGCTATGATGCGGTTCGGCAGCAAGCAGTCCACCACTTGAGAAGAGTCTAGAGAACAGTCCTGTGAACTTTGGTTTTGACCACAGTTGTTCCCAAGGGTTTGATTATTGCGGTTGTGGAATATCAAATTATTAATCATATTTTCTTACAGGGACATACATTAAAAAAGTTACTGGTAAGTTGATGTGCATTCATTTTATATACAGTTGAAGTCAGAATTATTAGCTCCCCTGTTTATTTTTTTCCACAATTTCTGTTTAATGGAGAGCAGATTTTTTCAACACATTTCAAAACATAATAGTTTTAATGACTGATTTCTAATAACTGATTTATCTTATCTTTGCCATGATGACAGTAAATAATATTTGTCTAGATAATTTTAAAGATATACAGCTTTTATTTTATTTATACAGCTTAAACGGACATTTAAGACTTACCTAGGTTAATTAGGTTAACTAGGCAGGTTAGGGTAATTAGACAAGTTATTGTATAACAATGGTTTGTTTTGTAGACTTTCAAATAAAAAAAAGATTTACCTTAAATTATAATTTTTTTACTAAAAGCTGCTTTTATTCTAGCAGAAATAAAACAAATAAGACTTTCTCCAGAAGAAAAAATATTATCAGACATACTGTGAACATTTCCCTGCTCTGTTAAATATCATTTGGGAAATATTTAAAAGAGAAAAAAAAATTCAAAGGGGGGCTAATAATTCTGACTTCAGCTGTGTGTGTATAAATTTTTTCTTTAAAAATACAGGAATCGCATGATAACTATAATGAAATTACAAAACAGTATTACTGTGTCAGAATATTTCAGACAAATAGACACATATTGGATAAGCAGAGAAAAGCCACACCACACGCAACAACTTGATCTTCCATAGTTAAAGGAATTTAATAAAAAGCCTGCAACATTTTCACGCTAGAAAGCATGTTTTTTATGCGGGACTGTAACTGTTTTGCTCAACGGCCCCTTTAAATATGAGATCAGTGTAGGGAATTTTGATGCTCTCGTTGGACAGTTTTGTCGC